AAAAAAAAAAAAAAAAAAAAAAAGAGAGAGAGCATAGAGAAAAAAAAAAAAAATGAAGAACATTTTAAAAAAAAAAAAAAAAACTAACATTGTTTTCCAAAAAAAAAAAAAAAGATTAGCAGTCACTTCAAAAAAAAAAAAAAAAGCCATCTCACTAAAAAAAAAAAAAAAAAAACAAATTAATGAGCTAAAAAAAAAAAAAATTAGTGTGTTTTGACTAAAAAAAAAAAAAATTTTGACATGGAATTGAAAAAAAAAAAAAATACTGCAAAGGCTTCCAAAAAAAAAAAAAATTCGGTTGTAACCTCTAAAAAAAAAAAAAACATTTCGGAGAATTTAAAAAAAAAAAAAAAAAGTGTTAGTTTCTTCAAAAAAAAAAAAAATGTATTATCCTTGTTTAAAAAAAAAAAAAATTTTTCATATTTTGCTAAAAAAAAAAAAAAATGAAAAGAATACACTAAAAAAAAAAAAAAAACCTAATTACCATATAAAAAAAAAAAAAAATTTTGAGTCAGTGATAAAAAAAAAAAAAATGAGTATGTTAAAAAGAAAAAAAAAAAAAAAATATTTATCAGTAATAAAAAAAAAAAAAATAACTGAATTCAGAATAAAAAAAAAAAAAAAAAAATTTGAAATCATAAAAAAAAAAAAAATAATGTAATCTGGTCCAAAAAAAAAAAAAAGAATCCATTTATAATTAAAAAAAAAAAAAAATGAACAACATAGCTTAAAAAAAAAAAAAAAGTATCACATAATTTCAAAAAAAAAAAAAAATCTTATGCCAGTTGGAAAAAAAAAAAAAATGACTCTATAGTGAGAAAAAAAAAAAAAAAATACTGATTTTGTTATAAAAAAAAAAAAAATTTAAATATTTAAAAGAAAAAAAAAAAAAAACTTGTTTTCTAGAACAAAAAAAAAAAAAATGCTCTAAGGGAGGCAAAAAAAAAAAAAAATATACATATCCAAAATAAAAAAAAAAAAAAAACAAATGAAAGCACAAAAAAAAAAAAAAAACCTGACTTTAAAAACAAAAAAAAAAAAAAATTTCTTCTAATTTTTAAAAAAAAAAAAAAGTCTTTTCATCTAGCTAAAAAAAAAAAAAATGTGCTTTACCAAGTTAAAAAAAAAAAAAATCCATATGTGTCTTAAAAAAAAAAAAAAAATCTTCCAACATCTTTTAAAAAAAAAAAAAATTTTCACATTTCTCTTAAAAAAAAAAAAAAGATAAAAACTCCTGTTAAAAAAAAAAAAAATCTTTAGCCAAATTGAAAAAAAAAAAAAAAACAGCTTCCTTCTCGGAAAAAAAAAAAAAAAACTGCATGAATAAAAAAAAAAAAAAAAAAAGTGAAGCAGGCTGCGAAAAAAAAAAAAAAAAACCAGTAACAAATTAAAA